GGCTTTATAGGTAATATTTTCACTTACACAATTGAGCAAAATCAGACAATATTGTGTCTAATATATACCACAATATTAACTTCCTGTTATTGAATTGTTGTAAATATCACATTTGCAACTGGCCAGTGTTCAAAAAATGCTGAGAAATCACTTTATGTAGCCCTACAAGAGTGATTACTGATAAACTGTCTGAAAAAAAGTCACATTTTAGAGAAGAAGAATCACCCACTGACTTTCAAAGCTGCTACTTAACGACTTTCTACTTCGAGGACCTTGATAGAAATGTAAGAGTAAAAAGCACAATATTTGTCTTTCAAATGTAGTGAAGTTAAAGTCATAAGTTCCCAGAAAAAATAATACTCAAGTAAAGTACAGATGCACAAAAAGTGTACTTAAGTACAATACTCAAGTAAATGTACTTCGTTACTGTCCGCCTCTGGTTAATAGTATTAAGTTAAGTGTTAATGTAGTACTACCTATTACTTCCTGCATAGTTACTTGTTAACAACGGACCATTTTTCTAAAGTGTTACCCAATTCATTTGTTGGTTATTTTACAATTGGGAATACAACGAATGCATGACAATGTTTACACATTGACACACTATTTATCAAATATATTTGATACTGTAAAGCTGCTTTGGCACAATCTGTATTGTTAAAAGTGCTATATAAATAAAGGTGATGAGACGACTTGACTAGACTAATGAGTGGAACTTGAAGGTCCAACTACACTCTAAGGCCCTGTCCCAAATGGCACCCTTCATGTGCACTCGCAGTCTTGCGGCCTTAGTGTTCAACTTGTTTGCCTGTCCGTTAAGTCCACGAGACCGTATGTGTCCCATTTGACATTTTACGTTTCAGAAGGGTGTTTGCGAACACCCCCTTTGCATAAGATTAGTCATTGTGGGTCACGCTCAAAAATGTATCAGCCTATATGTCCATGTCAGATGTTAACATGCTTGGATACAGCACTCTGTGAACAGCCAGCTTCTTTGGCAATTAATGTTTGTGGCTTACCCTCCTTGTGAAGGGAGACAATGATTGTCTTCTGGACAACTTTCAGATCAGCAGTCTTCCCCATGATTGTGTAGCCTAGTGAACCAAACTGAGAGACCATTTTGAAGGCTCAGGAAACCTTTGCAGGTGTTTTGAGTTGATTAGCTGATTGGCATGTCACCATATTCTAATTTGTTGAGATAGTGAATTGGTGGGTTTTTGTTAAATGTGAGCCAAAATCATCACAATTAAAACCAAAGACTTAAACTACTTCAGTCTGTGTGCATTGCATTTATTTAATACATGAGTTTCACAATTTGACTTGAATTACTGAAATAAATGAACTTTTCCACGACATTCTAATTTATTGAGATGCACCTGTAACTATCTGTCCTACAAAGTTCGTGGGCAGACTAGTCCACAAATAGCATACAGATTTCTAATAGGCAATTTGTTTGATTGTGCCATCACCTATTTGACAGTCCCAAAATTCAGAAATGGTATCGTTCGATTACACAATTGGGAGAATAGACGCACCTGTACTCGTGTCTCACTCAATATTATCAGTCAAAATCCCTTTTAACTGCTCAACCCACATAAAAATATGAAAAAATGTTTTCTAAAAATCTTGATCTTTAAGTTCCTTTAGCAACTGTCTATGCTGACTCCATTTTTGATCATCTCTTGTCTCACTTTAGTCTCATCTTTTAAACCTATTTCAGCCACCTGAGCAGTCAAGGATTCAGTAGGATTCCCTTTAAACTACTGTACTGTGTTGTGACAAACCCAAGAAAACTTCATTCACTAGATACAATACTCATTAAATGTAAAAATAATACTCAGTCAATTTAAATGTCTGTTTCACTGGATTTCAGATTTAGAAATTTGTCATGCAAGGTTGATTCTGTTATTGACTGTTGAGTCTTGCCTGAGCACCTGAAAATAATCTATAGGTTCGTTGTGACTGACTGTATTTCAATGGGTTTCAATGACACATCGCAGATTCCTGTGCAACAAAGCGCCCTCAAAAAGCGACTGCTACTCAGTTATCCCTCTTAATTGACTAATGAGACAAAAGCCCACAGATTATGAGATTCAAAACTCTATATTCAATTATAGATAATAGAATAAATATTCTCAAATTAGTAGATTATATCATACAAGAGAAACAAAAATAGGTGATCACTCACCTCACTGATTTAAGCCTTGCAGCATATCACCAAATCAATTATTTTAATATTTTTGGTGGAACTTGATATTTACTGATGCAGTAGTGCAGTCAGATGAGAAATGATGATATCAAAGATTAGTTTATTGTGATACAAATGTGAATTTTTTTGTTTTTGTAAATATTGATAATGATAACAATGAAAATGATACAAATTAATTGAGTATTAGAGTAACTGATCATGTATATACATATACATGAAAAGAAAAACTATAGGCCATGATAGCAGCTCACTCTCATTAAATAAACGTAAAACCCATTTATTTTTTTAAGTGTTTATTTAAAAGTCACTGTCCCTTCAAAATCTCCTTGAATATCTGAAAATATAATTCCATAGTTGTGCGTTACTAATAAGCAAAAGCATATTTCTAAATGAGGAGAAATGTTAAAAACAATTCCACACGCTGCAATGAACACATATATAGCTTGCTTTTCAGGTGGACACTTAAATAAACTGATATACTCAAGCTAACAATTTCCAGTATTCATTGATGCATGACAATAATTCATTTAAAATTAGATAAACTTTGGCATAGACAACTTGTAAAAAACAAAAAACAAATTGAACTTGCAAAAGGAGTCAATTCACACTGCAGTCACCTACTTTACCTACCTACCTAATGAAAATCCCTTTTCATACAAACATTTGACCCAGGCAGTCCAAGTTATTTCGCTGTACAAAAATAGTTTCTCCCTACATTGATATTTGCATTTCCAGGAACGCTAAATATTTGGAGTGGATAACTAGTTAGAGATAAAAGAAATTACTTACAGAATGCTAACTTAGAACTAATAAACCGGAGAAGATCACTAATTCAGTTGCCTGGTTAATTGGGAAAGTGCTTGTTACTGCTTTAAACGTAGCTGCATTTTTCCTTTTGAACTGAACCACTGTTCTGAAGACAATTTGAGCTTGAATGAACACTGCACATTTTTATCGCTGTTAGCCCTCAGCGGATACAGCTCATCTCGTGCCAAATCAGTGGGAGCAGCTACTGTTTAAGGATTGGGTGGCCTGGAGCTGGAGTGTATATTGTCAGATGATTATGAACTGAGAAATAAGGCATGTGACTGATATGAGCATATCCTTTTTAGTGGGCTGTGGATGAATAATCTACACGTTCTGAACTTTCATGGCATCCTTGGGCCAGCTGTATGGATCCAGAGTGAAGGAGTCGTAGTCAGAGCTATAGACTTGGGATAAAACAAAGGCCTCTTTATCTTTGGGTTCAGGGTACCAGGAGGCAATGCCCTGTTTGTAGGCATGGTCCACAATCTGAAGAAAAAGAGGTGTTTGGGAAGAAAGAATGAAACATAGTGAGTGAACAGAGTACAGTGTGACAGATTTGCTACCGTTTACTATTAAAAACTTATGCAAAGTCAAAATTCATCCATTTGTGATAACTTTCGTTCTTTTGTGATAACTTTTATTGGTATTACAGGGAATATAATTTACAGTATGCAATGAAGTTTACAAATTTAATGACATCAAATCTTTTGGTAGACATTCAGTAGTTTTTCTTGAAGCTAGGGAGACATACAAAATGTGCAGGGCAGGGGGTACTCCAGGACAGATTTGAGAACCACTGGTTTATGCCATTCTAATTTTACCTGATTATCAGTGCCCACATCCAGCAGCACAGGCAGGCACTGCTGAGGTGGCACTCCTCCACATGCTGTATACAGAGCTAGTTTGCCCACTGGGATCCCCATTCCATAGCTGCCCAGGTCTCCTAATCCCAGGATTCGTTCTCCATCCGTTACCACTATGGCCTATTAATGCACATACAATGAAACAACCATCTACTGGCACCGAATGACACTTTATCACTCTAAACAAACCTTAATGTCCTCCTCCGGCCATGAGTTCAGCATGGTGGCAATATGCCCCTTGTCATGGATAGTGATAAATAACCCTCTACAAGAAAAAAAAAGTCAAAATCATATGGGACTTATACTGCACGTTCACCATGCAGCTAAGAAAAACTGGTTGGACTAGTCTAAGTGTTTATAAAGCATTTGATTCAGAATAGATCTGGCTAAACAAGTCCTTCCAGGTCCAGAGTATGTATATACCTCACCTTGGTCTTCTGAAAGCAAGGCCATACTGTTGGCAGGCCAGGCCCACAGTAGGAGTGTAGACTATAGGCATGAATTCTTCAATGTCAGAGGTTAACACACGATAGAAAAGCTTCTCATTTCTGTCCTGCAGTGTCATCAGCAATATGTATCTGCAGAGTCAGAATGTTTTTTTTAGTATAAATAGGAAATGTATAATGGAAATTAATAATGTAAACACAATGGGCCTAATTTATCAATCTAACGTGGACTGCATTTTAGTTTGATGATGAATGGCTGAAATGTCAGGCAACGCTAGAACTAATGTTGTTTGTGTGATTCTATTATATATTTTGTGTGATCCTATTGATTTGATTCCTTTTATAAACTTAATTTCTGTTTTTCTCCTTTCACAGAAGCGCTGCAGGTGCATGATGCGACGATTGAATATATCCTCATGGTCGTTTATGCTGCTATTCGCGCATATAAAGCTAAAGCCCTGTACAAAAAAAAAAGAAAAAAGACATTCTAATTTTACTGATTAACGATCGATTAATGAGATTCATTTGATGGTCAGGAATATAAAAATGAACAAAATGCTGTCAATCTACAATTCTCCACCGTATTTACGATGCTGTGCGCAACTTCAGCTAACTCAAAAACTTGCGTACACGAGCTGAGACCAGACGTGAGATTTGATCGTAGCCACCGCTCACGTCCATATTGATAAATTCCAAATTTTGCGTTAAAACGACTGTACGCTCAATTTTCTGTCGTACGTTCGTTTCGTAAATGAGGCCCAATGTTTTTAGTATAAATAGGAAATAGGACCAAGAAAAGTATTGTCACTGTGCTTTTCATTGGCTATGATCATACAGAGTATGTACAGAATGTTTCAGATTAAGTTTGGTTACTTGTCGAGAGGGTTACTGCGTGTCTCGTAGCTCTTCATAACACGAAGCACTTGGACATCCTGAGAGAGGAAACAGGGAGGCAGCAGGCCATGGATACCCAGCTGTAACCTCTCCTCCATGGTGAACGCCATGCCCTGTTAACACAGCACCATAACTTCATTAACAACACATGATAGCTGCAAATGAAAAAAAAAAGTGCACTCCTCCTACAGTCTGGTTTAAATACAAATTACCACCCTGCAACTGGGTCTGCACCGGGCAACATTCCAGCTTAGGGTAGATGCATCACATGTTGGATCTATTTATTTCTGACCAATGGGAAGTAAGCATGGACACCCTCCCCTGTTGGATTCTCCGCTCACTGTTTACATCTTAACAGTTTCCATCCATCATGGTTTTAAAGTTCTACACTTCTCAATCATGCCCAGTCCTCATCTTGGCCTGAAAGTCTTTGCAAACAGGATACAGATTGCAAAGAAACATTTAAATGGAAACATTTTCATGACCCAGCAAAAAGTGTTCAGCGAAACCCCTGTGTCATATCCTGCAACTCTGCATTGATTTTAAGAAACCTAAGCATATTCAGAGCATCTCCTCTTAATGCTTGGTAGGGGCCAAAGTCTTTGCTTTTAGATTCAAGATCTCACACTGCCACTTTCATACTTTCTTATCTGTGGGGACTTTGGCATTACTAAACGTTATCAAATCACATCAAAGCACCGGCTGCTGACAATCTAATAGCTGCTTAGTCACGTAGATCATAAGTTCACTGAGTTTGAACCATAAAGATGCTTACTTTGTTCAAGTCGGGGTTCCTGGTGATATCATAGCCTCGTTTTTTGGTGAACACCGTGCCCTTGGAGTTCACGCCTGAGTGACAGACCCTCACTGCCCCTAGGATAGCAGGAGGGAGAGACAGGGGACTGGAGAAAACCCTGCACAGCGCCAGCACACTCTTACCCGAGAGAGAGTTCATGATTCCTGCAAAATAAGAACATTCAGGTTCAGAGAAGCTTCTTTTTGAAAGCTCACTATACTGGTATGCATGGCAAAATACCAGTTTATGCTGGTTTGTTGACTGGTTTCTAGTCAGTAGACCACCTTAGACCAGCAACAAACCAGATGGTCGGGCTGTTTTTAACTTGTCCAGCTACTGTACCAACTTAAGCAGGGATTTCCAACAATATGATTTTACAGTCACTGGCGCATAAACTGTGGTTATCATGATAATTGTTTTATTATAAAGAGGTGTCATGGTGCAACAAAGAAAAAAAATTACTAATACAGCTTTTGCAAGTTCAGCAAGTTCGTCCTCTCCAATTGTAAACAAGGCCTTTAGAACACAAAAAAACAACGCAAATGTATTATGTATTGTGATCTGTATTCGCTACGCATCTTTATTTTAACAACAGAATGTGTTTCAGGTCAAATGCACATTAGGGAGAGGTTTAGCATTGTCATTGTTCTGTAATGAGACATTTGTTTACAAGCAAAGCCGCGTAATTACCTGAGAACAGCTAATCCACCGGCAGTTTCTGCTTCACTAGGTTTAATCCAAACGCTGAGCTGCTGCCCGTCTCCACTGACTCGCGTTATCTGTAGATGATGTTGTAATCGACTGATAGAAACGATCCAGGTTGACAATTTCGCTTCCCAACGCTCTCGACTTGGGCCCGCCCCTTTTGGGCAGAAGTGGCCAATAGAATGAGGCGATGCGAATGACGGCGTTTCAAACAAACGGAAGATTTTGGAGGCATGTGACTCTTCTTCTTAAATTGGCTTGAGAAAGCCAACTTACTGAAATCCGTCTTAAACTTAATAATAATAATATTCTTTTTCTGAGACTAAAATTTCTGAATGCTACTCCTCCTAGAGCTTTAACTCTACAGACAGACGGTTTTCATACAAATTAAATATTAAAAATCATAAAAATCCCATAGACTTGAATTGAAAAGTCTCTGCTCATCTGAACATTCCGTCAAACTCCAACTGTCAAAATTCAAATCTAAACACACTGAAGCCCATTAGACTCAATCAGACTTCCTTTCTATGTACTATTTCTAACCCATTCAAACTCATCTATCTATCTATCTATCTATCTATCTATCTCTTTCTATCTATCTATCTATCTATCTATCTATCTATCTATCTATCCTAGCGACATGCTAATCATGCTAGAAACGTACAAACAACATGCAAGTAGCATGTTAATCATGTTAGCAAAATGCTAGTAACTTGCTAATCATGCTAACGACATACTAGTCACTTTCTAATGATGCTAGCAACATGCTAGTCACTTGCTAATCATACTAGAAACATGCTAACGACATGCTAGTAACTTGCTAATCATACTAACAAAATGCTAGTCACATTTTAATCATGCGTGCAACATGTTAGTAGCATGCTAATCATGCTAGAAACATGCTAGCGACATGTTAGTAACTTGGTAATCATGCTAATGACATGCTAGTCACTTGCTAATGATGTTAGCAACATGCTAGTCACTTGCTAATCATCCTAACAACATGCTAGTAGCATGCTAATCGTGCTAGAAACATGCTAACGACATGCTAGTAACCTGCTAATCATGCTTGCTACATGCTAGTCACTTGCTAAAGATGCTAGCAACACGCTAGTCACTTGCTAATCATGCTAGAAACATGCTAGCTACATGCTAGTAACTTGCTAATCATGCTAACAACATGCTAGTCACATGTTAATCATGCTAGCGACATGCTAGTCACTTGTTAATCGTGCTAGAAACATGCTAGCAACATGCTAGTAACTTGCTAATCATGCTAGTCACTTGCTAATGATGCTAGCAACATGCTAATCATGCTAGAAACATGCTAGCAACACCTTAGCAACCACCACGGGCACCCCAGCAACACCCTAGCAACCACCCCGAGTACCCTAGCAACCACATAGCAATGCCTTAGCAACCGCCCAGAGTACCCTAGCAACCGCACCGCAACCACCCCGAGTACCTTAGCAACCGCCCCTAGGTCTTCTATCTATCTATCTATCTATCATCTGACCCTTTCTATCTATCTATCTATCTATCACCTGACTCCTTTCTTACTATCTATCTATCTATCTATCTATCTATCTATCTATCTCTGACAGACTGTATTGCCTTCAAAACATTCAAACTTTAAGCTTTTAAAACTACTTTAAACTTCAAACTATTTCAGACTGAAAACCATAAAACTTTTTTTAAACTTCTTAAACTTTTAAAAAATTTTCAAACTTTCTGGTCCGGCTTTTCTCAAGCCAACTTAAAGTTTGTCTTGAACTTTTTTATCTAGTTATTATTAGTTTTTTATTGGCGGCTCGCAATCGGCCTGTGACGCTGGCGCTTCCCAGTGTTTTTGTTTATTCAAACGTTTGCATTTAAAATATGAGTGATGAAAACAGATACTTAATCACGCATGTCGAACGAAATTACCACGCTTGAATATGCTTTAGAAAGAAATTATATAATTATTTAATCTACAGACAAAAAGTACACGTTTCTGCATTAAATCATGAAACATGCTGGAAAATGTAAGATCTCTAGTCTAAAAGACTGTAAAAAGTTGCTTTATTGCAGGCAGTGTTTACATAAATTCTCAGCACATGAGAAATACAAAGATTTTTTTGTTTCGGAAACTACCATTTATGTAGCTTTTCATGAGCGCTGCTCTTTTTTTGCAATGCAACTAATAACAATAGATATGTACTCATACTACATACTCAAATACAAGTCTAAATCATCCCAATGATTGTATTTGGATAACAACACTGTGAAAAGACAAAGACAACAACCAAATCAACATTAAAACTACTCCAAACAAAGGTTAACTAAAAGTAAACAGAGAACCTTAGATGAACCAAAGAGGCTCTTTTATGTAAAACCTTCAGCTGAAGTGCCATCAATGTTAACGTCATCTATAAATTGTACTGATCAAATACCAGAAACCTTGCTGTGGTTAATAATTTAAAAATGTACAGTGTAAACAGTGAAAAGTTACATATATAAAACAAAAAATTTAAGTGATAAACATCTAACATCTAAAAGTAGAATTAAAACACAAAATAAAGTGTAAAAAAGATGTACAGTGCATTCACTATCTTCCAGGGGTCTATTGCAGGCCATTTGCGGTTACCGTTTAATTATTGTGCTGAAGTACACAATTAGTCCCAATGACAGTAGTCCAGAAGACATTCACTTGTAGGTGGTGACTGGTGAGTAATGAAAGATCAAGTTAGAAATGAAGGACAAGGCAGTGACTCAGATCACAACACTCGTGCCACTGCGAGAGCTTTTATCCTGTTAAAAAAAAATAAAAAAATTATATATATTTTTATGATGAGACAAACCATAATTATTTACATTTATTTTTATTCATTTGGAAGACACTTATCAAAAATGACTTAAAAATACTATGCGGTTTATTTTTTTGTTCAAATCTCCATTTCAGCAAACCCAAAGCATAGTTTTAAACACAAAAATAAAAATGGTCATTTATTCACCTTCATTTCATTCCAACCCTGTATGACTTTCTTCTACGGAACAAAAAAGATGGTATTTTGAAGAATATGTTTTTGTTCATACAATAACATTCAAACAAGCGGAGACATTTTTCAAAATGTCTTCTTTTGTGTTATCAGAATAAAGAAAATCATACAGGACTGGAATAACGTAAGTGTGTAAATTATGACAGGATTTTCATTTTTGTGTGAATGATTCTCTTTAAATGTGTCCTTTTTGGCACCACAGTATATAAATCACAGCTTCTTAGTGATGAACAAATCCTAAATCTACATTCTTACCGAGAAGTAGTCACTCCTCCTGCTGTGGCCAGGCAAAATATCAATGGTAGAATAAGCTGGTGGTTTCTCAGACAATCTCCCTTGAGATCTCTTCCGTTTTCTATAACTGTCCTCCTCGTCTGAACTCCAGGAGCCTCTACGTGGAGAAGGCGAATAGCTCCTGTCTTTGCGGTTTGTCGCGTGCTCCAGCTCCTCCAGAAGCTCCCCTTTACTGCGAACACGTGGACAAGACCTATCCAAAACCGAAACTCGTCTGCGTCCTGATGAACCTCTGGCTCCACGCCTGTCGTCCCAGTCTGACCCGTCGCTGTAGCTGCGCTGTATCTGCGTCCCTCTCTGTGAAGATGACAGCTCCCTCCGGGAATCATCACGATGATGACCGTTGCGGTTTGAGCTACCACTGGAATGATTAGATAGCCGGTGTCTTCCACCATCATTGGTCCGCCGAGAGCTCGGTTTCGCTCGGCCCACGATGGGAGGCAGCTGGATGACCCTGCGCTCCACACCTTGGACACCCATCTCGTCCAGGGCTGAGAGCATGCTGGGCGGCCTGGCTGATAAAGGTACAGCTTGGGGTATGGGTTGAGGTGGTGGAGTTGCATATTGGGGTTGTGGGAACACATATTGATGAGGAAGGCTTTGGAATGGGACTTCTGTGTAGTATTGTTGAGGCTGAAGCATTGGGGCAGCCATATCCATCCCTCTTACTTGGTTCTCCAGAAAATCTAACACCTGGTTATTACCACGTACACTTCCATTTATGCTGCCATTGGCATGGTATCCGTGGGGAGGTACGAATGGCAGGACAGGTTGAGAAGGAGGAATGACCATCGGGGCCATGGGAAGGTTGTGTTTGGATGAAGTTTCAGAAAAAGACCCTGTGGAGGACAAATTATGAGTGTCAAGTCATTACTGATCAGAAGCAGCACTACATACATTAGCAGATTACTAGAGGAAGTTATACTGACCTGAATATAGTAAAGGGTTTGCTTGAGAAGATGCTTTTGAGGCAATGGGGGCATAGATGGGCTGGCCATGGAGCCACGGTACCATTGCTTTTTGAGCGTCACGCATCATCTTGTGGTGCATCACCGCTAAATAGACAAATGAACATGGAAGAAATATTTCACTTTTTTATTTTATTTTTCAATAAAATTACAACAAACTATTATAAATATATATTTTTTTATTTGAAATAATACTTAATAATAATAATAATATTATTATTTATAAAGCACATTATGTTGTTTTCATTGTTAAAATGCTAAAAGGGTTCCACAGATTATAATTATAATAAATTATGTGTCAAGTCATTACTGATCAGAAGCAGCACTACATACATTAGCAGATTACTAGAGGAAGTTATACTGACCTGAATATAGTAAAGGGTTTGCTTGAGAAGATGCTTTTGAGGCAATGGGGGCATAGATGGGCTGGCCATGGAGCCACGGTACCATTGCTTTTTGAGCGTCACGCATCATCTTGTGGTGCATCACCGCTAAATAGACAAATGAACATGGAAGAAATATTTCACTTTTTTATTTTATTTTTCAATAAAATTACAACAAACTATTATAAATATATATTTTTTTTATTTGAAATAATACTTAATAATAATAATAATATTATTATTTATAAAGCACATTATGTTGTTTTCATTGTTAAAATGCTAAAAGGGTTCCACATATTATAATTATAATAAATTATTATGAATTTTATTCATATTATTATTTAAAAGAATACTTATATTAATAATACAAATATTTATATTTATAATGCATATTTTGTTGTATTGTCTGTCTACTTATTTAGTTTTCATTGTCAAAAAGAAAAAAACATATGCATTACATATATATTATAAAACATATTATTGACAAACTAATCAATTGTTATGCAGAATGAGATTTTGTAATCAGTAGACATTTATTTCAAAGAACTGATATCCACCAGAAGTAGAACATTTTGAATATTGTTAAAAAATAAATATTGTAACATTATCTGGTGTGATAAATGCACAGACTAAGATACTAAAGCAATAAAGAGTCAATGCACGTGGATACCTTCTTCTGGGCAGCAGCAAGTGCGAGGACAGCAGGGACAACGGACATAGCAGCAGCAGTTCTGAGGACAGCACTGGCAGCAGCAGATACAAATCAGTATGACGAGGAGCAATCCACCGAGGACGATGAGCAGCACAGTCAGCCAGTCTGAGAGGAAGAGGGGGTATGACCAGCATCAGCATCTATAATGTTTTTGTGGTTGAACAAGGCTTCAGTGTGTTGATACTTACGATACACAATGAGTCTGATTTCTTTATCGGAGTCTCCCACAACATCACCTGCTGCATCGATGGAGCAGAAATACATGCCGTTGTCCCACCACATCACCTCATTGATAACCAGGTCAGCATCTGAGAAACACATACAGAAAAACTAAATTACTGGCTCTTGTTAGTGAAACCTTAATCAAGCAAACATAAATTGTACATTGTAAGGAATCAGCAATATATATATATAAAACTATGTGATGTGAGAAGATCTGACTAATGGGATTTCTAAGACCAACTTCTGAGCATGTAATAAATTGTTTCCTATGACTGTGATTCTCTAAATGCCTACATCTGTGGTTGTCACATAACAGTTGTCTACACTAATTAATTTGATCCTATAAAGCCTGCTATATCATTTGATAAATGAATTACTTATGCCTCCAAATTATCAATATTATCAAAACCTGTTCTGATTGATAGCTCATACTTTTTAATAATAAGATTTAGGAAGCCTCTTAGGATAATTATAAAAAGATCCCACACTAAGTTTACTTAATTTTTTATTGGGTGTTTTTATTGGGAGATACAGAGTGACAACTGATATTTATAAGCATTTTATGGAAGCATTCTGCTATACTAATATAAATCTGTCATTGATTTGTCATTGCTCCTGCATGTCCAGACTCACTGTTTTGTACGTATATCTTGCGATCTCGATATTCTGTCCCCAAAATAGCTTCATTGAGGCCTCTTTTCTGAATCACTATGCGGACAGTGCGCTGACTGTCTGGACAGTCATTGGCTGGGTCTTGCTTCAGACCCAGAGCTGCTTGATATGCTGAAGAAAGAAAGAAACTTACATGGTCACATCAATCACCACATGTAATCAATTCAGACCAAAAAAAAGTAAAAAAAAAAAAAAAAAGCCTTTTATATTCAGTTGACCTACACCACTCACCTGCTGAGTAATATTCCAGCACTGGGTCCAAACAGAAGGACTTGTATCGCCATGTGACCAGGACATCTTGTAGGTTTGCAGTAGTGGAATAGTCGCATCGCAGAGTGACAGAAGCAAACAACATTGTGTGTCTCTCTGTATGAGGAACCGTAACCTGGATAGACAACAGCTCTGAGAATAAAGGGAGAGGGATCAGTTAACATACCATTTGCATCAGGGTTCCACACCTTCTGACCGACAAGCTTTCATTACTTTTCCAGTCGTTAATTTGATTTATTTAGTTAGTCATTTCATAAGGATTTTACTCACAAAGAACCATTTTCAGCAAATTAAATATTTTAGTATATTCTTAAATATTTTAACTATTTTAAATCTATATCTATTTCTATTCCAGGCCTGAAAATCTCTATTTTACACATCAAAATCAAGTTTCAGTAAAACATAATATTAACATTTTTGCTGGCATGAAGCTTGTAAATCACGTGATCGGGATTATCTGCCAATCATGTTTGCACCTGTGGATGATTAACCTCGCCACTGAATTTATACAATTACCAGAAATTGTTTTAATTCTTTAAAAGTGGTATGCCACTAAATGAAACTCCTAATATTCAATTTTAAACCCTGACAGTTATTTTGAATGCCGACTTACCTGTTGGAAATACGCAGAGCACGAGCGCAAGCACCTTGAGCTTCAGTGTTTCTCTCATGTTTCTCGGTAACACGGAAGGTTTTTTTTCCTTTACTGTATTTTTCCAAAAAACAGAAAAATCCTATATTTGCGAACCAAACAAATACAGACGATGTATGCTGGCCATCATGTCAACGTAAAACATGCGACGCAAATATATCCTGCTATTTTTACCTAAATTCTCTCGAGTCAGTGTAAACACACCTTTGCTCTTTGGAAGTCTGATTCCCCTCCCCCATTCCACGATGACGCCACAGACTCCACCCACCAACAGGTGCGCAACACCCGAATTGGGTCATGTTACTTTATTTAAAGTTATTCATTGATTATTGTTCAAAATTAAATTATTTTTCACATTTTTATTATTAATATTATATTATTATGTAAATATGTTTCATCGCTCAAAGTGAAAGTATTAATTGCGTTGTTTACTTTATTCGATAGAATTACGCAATATATTTGTAGTTATTCACATTTAACCACCAGGGGGCGTCCCTTGCCGGATCAATGGGCCACGTCTTCCCAACGTTCTAGTTTTGCTGCCTCGCCAGCTGAAAAATATTAAAATCCATGTAAAACTGACCAACAGGCAATCCTGACTAGATGTGGAGACCAGCAAACAAGCTTAGACTGGTTAAAGGAAAAGGAAAAAGTAAACTCGACTGTGGCACGTTGAGTCTTTTTGGTCACTGTTCTCAGAATGGAACTGTGTTTGATGATGTAACATTATAACCATGCTATCTTCCCAAAAATTGCAAGTAAAAAAAAAGTAAATTAATTCCAGCTCTAAGTTCTGAATGAGCTGTGTTCTTTTAAACTATTGTAAACTGCCATCACACATAATATTCATATGGGGAGTTGCTATGTTTTTAGTTTTTTTTCCTATACAGAGTGTAAACATCCTATTGGCGGGAAAGGATGTTTTATTAATCGTTAATAATAAATTTAACTATTAACTATCAACTATGGCACAATGTGAAAGAAAGCGGCATGTACAGAGATCTAAACCTAAAGCACTAAACACCTGTGAGGGCTTGTATCAGATTGTTTCCTGCTATTGTAATCTCATCCTGGAAAGAATCATCTTTTCCTTTTCTGTGTCCTGTCCAGTTTCCTGCATGGCCAAGATTCTGTATTGCTAAAAAATGCCTTACTGTATTTGTTTTCTTATGTTGAAGTAAGACCAAAAGAAGCAAGTAGTCATGCCCTGATATTGATGATAAAGAACAGGGATATATTTTTATCATGAATACACTAAGGTTATCAGAAGAAAAGAAAAACAGACAGCAAGTGTTCATATCAAAGTCATTATTTTAAAACCGTGAAATACAAATAAATGGCACATTATCAAAAGCACAATCATTCATGCTTCCCTCGAGAGCCAACTGATTAACACTGACACAAATGTACAGTACAGTGCAAACAAAGGCAATGGCAATATTGAAATATCAGAGACAGCGTCCCATTACAGTACTAAAGATATACAAAATACCAAGGAATGTTTAAAGCACTCGAATGTCATTTGAACAATTTAAAGTCCTTTCTAAGATATTTTTAGTGCAGCGGTAGTCTGAGGACTAATTACGAAAATAGTTTTTTTGACATTATTATCAATACAGAAAATAAAAACAAACACACACACACTACGTTCCTGCCCTTGACCAGCAAAAGTTCCCAAGCTCTTCATGTCTGTGTGATCCTGCATAAAATGTGTCTTTCTGACAGATTGATACTTAGTGTCTGGGGCATTTCTCTTCAGCTGGATGGTGATGTTATTAGTATGATGTCAGCTCAGTCTGACGACGTCACACAATTAGTGAGTCTCTGCTTAGATGAGTGGTCTGTTAAAAAAACACCAAGAGCCACACATTAGACACCCATTAGCATGATGCGTTGTTAGTGTGCCAGTGTAATGCTGTACTGTGAGCCCATTAGAGTTAGTGATGCCTTTTATGATACAATCAGGAAAACAGAACAAAAACACATAAAACCTGCCTGAGAAATCAGAGAACTTTCATTTACATACATTCTTGTAAAGAATACAATTTACATTTCAGCAAACAAAAAAATGACATGCTGTACAGTTAAAATAATTTCATATTCAGATTTCTTTGAGTCCCTCTTTGGAAAACAAATGACATAAGTATAAAATAAAATATAGGCTGACAAAAGATCCTCGGAGTTGAAAAAATATTAAAAAAATGTAATTTTGAGATAAAATAAGAACAACTTTGAGTTTATTTCTATATTTCATTATTATATACACTGCCGTTCAAAAGTTTGGGGTCAGTAAGATCTTATACTCACCAAGGCTGCATTTATTTGATCAAAAAGACTATAAAAACAGTAATATTGTGAAATACTTGTTTTCAAAATGTATATATATTTCAAAAAGCAATTAATTCCAGTGATGGCAAAGATACATTTTCAGGAACCATTTCTCCAGTCTTCAGTGTTAACAAAGTTGTGCTGCCTAATATTTATGAAAATTGTTCAGGATTTTTTTCTTTGATAATTTGAGAGTTCAAAAGAACAGCATTTATTTGAAACAGAAATATTTTGCAACATAATAAATGTTTTTACTGTAACTTTACATCAATTTAATGCATACTTGCTTAATAAATATATTAATTTATAATAAAAAAAAATAGTACTGACCCCAAACTTTTGAAAGGTAAGTCTGAGAAGGAAAAAGGAAATTCAATCTAACATATAAAATGTTTAAAAACAGGTAACTTCAAAATAAACATCATAATTTTACCCGTCCAGTAGCTCCCTAAATTTTGAAGCTATAACAACAAGTTTTATTTAAAAAAATTATTGTTACCCCATATGCCACATTTATCACAGGAAATGGGATTGAGAGATGTTGCAAGCTGGATTTGACCTTACATAACCCAAAAGACCACAGGTATGAGAAGAGCATTATGTCTGAAATTACTTGATGACTATGTGAATATACATAGATGGTGAGCTGAGATGTTTTTTTTTTACAAGATACTGCTTGATTTGAAGGATAGAACACTTATTTGTGCTCTTTAACATTTGAGACTTTACATTTCATATTAATGGAATCTGAATTGGCTCTTCTTTTTAGGCTTGAAGGAAGTTTGTTCCACCCTTCAATGTACAGAAACCAGGGCAGATGATTACAAGTAACTCACCAGTTTCCTTGATTTGTCCCTGTCCTCCCTGCGCTCCTGTAATGTATGGGACAGTCCATGGGCTGGACGTGTGTATGAAAAAGGCCGCATGGCAGGATCAGCAGTCCTGTACCGTTCCCTCCCTATATGCTCTTCAGTTCTAAACCTCTCCGCCTCCCTCTCAGAGTACGGAGGTAAAGGATCCTCCTCCTCGGGGCGGTGGCTAGGTGACCTGCTGTTGTAACAGTCACTGCTCTTCTTGGAACTGCCTTTTGAAGGTGTGTCACTGTCATCATCAACCCTCCCCCCTCGCTCTCCGTGGCCCCTAGCCTTGCGCTCCAGCAGAGTGTTCAGGTAGGTATCGTCATAAGACCTCTGTCGAGCGAGGTAACGCTCGCTGTCGGCAGTGTTGCACCTTTTTGGCGGGGAAGGTGGTGAGCCTCGACGGCGCCAGCCGTCATTGTCATCATCACCTCGAGAATACCGTGGCCCATCTCGGTAAGATGTGGGATGGTCTCGCGACCTTGGACCCATTTCAAAGTCTCGCTGAGGTCCACGAAAGTCACCTCTCCGATGACCGTGTGGGCCGTATGACATAGCAAACTCTTCCAGCTCATCTAGTGACCCTGTGCGCCCCCTAGCGTCAAAGGCTTTGCGGGGCAGGTGCTCAGAACGACAGTTCCATCTGCACAAACAGTCATGATATTATTAGTGCAAACATATATACTTTTATACATATACTGTATATATATATATATATATATATATACAATTTAAAATAACTGTTTTCTATTTTATATGGTGGCCGAGAGAGCTCAGCGCACTGTAATTTAAGACAACACATGCAAATAGAAAAAGCAGCAGCAAATTAAGAAAATATCTTCTTCAGTTTGACAACACATGTGCTGCAAATACTCGCAACACAACCAAATACAGAATTGTGCTGCAAATACACAAAACACATCCAAACACAAAAACATGCTGCAAATACACAAAACACATCCAAACACAAAAACACGCTGAAAATACTCACAACACAACCAAACACAAAAATGCGCTGCAAGTAGCACAGACCACAATGGGGGACCCTAACAATGCTTACAAAAGTGAACCATGGTTTATTATAGTAAAAGTAGTAACCATGTATTGATCACCATTTGTATAACCACAGTTGTACAAATACCATGGTAAAACTATGGTTAGTGTGGCTAATTTACCATGGTTTAACTATAGTAACCACTTTTTATTTGTATATATTTTTATATACAGTAATAATAAATATATATAGGCTATTAATTTTTGTTGGGAAGTTGTAAAAGTAGCCAGCTTACATAGCGTTTCAGTTACAGTTATTGTGCATTTCGTCAGCTTATTTAGGCTAATAATATAAAAAATTCGAAGGAATCATATGATCAGGATGTAAAAAAAAAAAAAACACCTTTCAGAGCAGACTTTTATAAGCATGTCCCAGGTTCTTCACTTGTTGCGGTTCCCTTAAACATTTCTGATGTAGTCTGTGCATATTTGCAACGTGTTTCTGTTTTTGGTTGTGTTGTGAGTATTTGCAGCACAAGATGATTTCTTAATTTGCAGGTGTTTTTTTCTATTTGCAGTTCTCTCAGCCACCGTGATTTTAATATATTTTAAAATGTTATTTATTCTTGTGATGTCAAAGCTAAATTTTCAGCATCATTAATCCAGTCTTCAGTGTCACATGATCCTTAAGAAATCATTCTAATATGCTGATATGGTGCTCAAGAAACATTTCTCTCTTGTGTCTCCAGTTTGAAAACCCCTGTCCTAAATTATTAGGTCATGCACACACACACTTGAATTGTACCTGTTGTCATGCTCATCCAGAGAGTGATTGCTTTGATAATGTGAGGGGCGAAGCCTATGGCCGATCGATGCTGTTCGAATATGCGGCTCATCCATGTGGTCACTGATGGGTGGTAGTGCCTTCCTCAGGACCTGTCGATAGGTCTGCCTGAAGTCTACGTCACCGTCATGCAGAGAGCTCAGTTCTGATAGGCTGCCAGCTGCTGACACAATGACATCATCATTAAGGACTTTCTTGATGTTTTTTTTTATTGCAGTAACAAATATGTTGTCATTGTAATATGCAGCAAAAAATCTATCTTTGTGAGAAATTCTGAACTTGGTTAGAATATTATGAATCGTCTTGACTTGCACAATCACAGATGTATTTTAAAGGGATAGTTTATCTAAAAATGAAAAATCTGTCATCAATGTGACTTTAACTGTATGGACAAAAGCAATTGAAAGATCCTTCAAGATATAATCTTTTGTGTTCCAAGGAAGATAAAAAAATACAGGTTTGTTATGACATGAAGGTAAATGATGACCGACTTTGATTTGAGAATGAACTATCCCTTTAAGATGAATGTAAAAGACATGTCCACTGGGGAGTGTTCAGATTGTAAACAATCATTGACCTTTAATAGGACACTGATGATGATGATGATGATGCATTAGACTTGCCATCAGGTGTGTCAGCTGACCATTGGTAGCTTTTTACTAACTTATCTCAAATCCAGCCTTTCTTTTTTATATACAAACAAATTCTGTGTACAGTAACATGCTGACTGCATACAGGCTTACATGGAATAAAATAAAAAAATTCAGTATATTAATTTAAAAATAGAAATATGAATTAATAAATTGGCCTATAAACAGTTATACTTATATATTTTAATGGAGTTTAATGTAAAAGTATAAAATCAATAAATTGCTTTAAAAATTTACAAATAAATAGACATTTAAGGGCCAGATTTACTAACAGCTTGCACCAATGCAAACCCTCTTTTGGCATAAAAAAAACTAGTGTCAGGATTTACTAAAGACACAAAATTAGTGCTGAAAAAGTGCAGGTCTATTTTTGCAGTGGACCTTATTGCATATGCATTTGTACAAGTTTCCCTTTCAGACACAAAATTTCATACACAGAGGTTTGCGCTAGTCAATTTACTGGTATTTGAGCCATTATGGAAACGATCTGGCTGTGTTCTTTAATTCGCGCATTGTCAGTAAATCACCTGCAGAACTTTCCAATTCCATCGGCGCTTTTATGGGATTGCACTCTCATGCTAATTTGCACTATTTTGTAAAAAAAAACTATTAATATATTTCCTTTTTAAAATGATAGGTTAATATAAAAATTAATTAACGTATTAATAAATATTAACTGGTCAATCAAGTTTAAAAATCCCATTGCCCCTTTAGTGTTTGCCATTCAGCTCAGGGCATTTTTACTTGTTGATACACACATACAGTACATTGTGAAACCATTCACCATCTTCACAGACAACACAGCTGCTACCTTCACAATGCCAGCAAGCTTTCTGCAATGTTACTATCTTTAAAACTTCAGCTGACATTCTATTTCCTACAAAATCACATACACAAATACAAACACTCTCGTCTCATCTGACCACAATTCCTTTAAACATTTTAAATACTCTGGACAGCCTGAGATTAAAGTTACAGTGCAGTTGAAGATGATATTAGTTGAGTTTGCGTTGAGTTATATGATGCAGACTTGCTTCAGTCATATGCAGTTACTCAGTGCAAATGCAGATTCACTTCAGACAGATGTGTTCAAAGAACAAACAAAGACATTAAAATATTTAGCATTTCATTTTTTATATGCTGCTGTATTGTCACTTACCTCCAGCTATATTGTTTTCTACTGAAGGAGCCACTACAGTCAACTTGGGTTCAATGATGGATGGTGCGGCTGGAGGGACCACAGGAAGCACAGGAAGACCAGGAACGTAGTAAGGTTGATACATGGCAATCTGAGGAGGTTGGCCGCTCTTTGCCATCTTCCCTGCTTCATATACTTTGAAGGCAAGTGGGAATGTTTTTTTCAGGTTGTGAATACGGGCAATGTGAGTGTAGTATGTATGTGTGTTTGTGTACTCACAGTGTTTTGGACAGCAACATGTATCAGGACAGCAGCAGCAGCTTACATAACAACAACAGGAGTGAGGGCAACACTGGCACCAGCAGATCCCAACCAACAACAGGAAGAGCACACTACCAAGGACGACAACTCCCACAAATACCCACTCTAAAGGAGACAAAAAAGACTCATCAGGAGACTTGGTTTCTGTGGCAAAAGCAGATCGTGAAAGAAGTGCTGCCCTGAAATCATTTTTGCCCACAGGATAGGAAGTCTCTGAAAATGACCAACCACAAGGGAGAGCTTGAATGATGCACAACCTCTTATCTGGACTCTCTTAGGGCCTAATGATGAATTTCCTCTGGGTGTGGTGTTAAAATTCCAACAGTATACATTGCGGACCTCTTATTCAACTCAAGAATGTTCAGAATTATATGCCTCTGAGCCCTTATGGCCGATTGGGGTAATGAACAGGACATAACCAAATTACTTTTTTAGAAGTTGAAATGTTTGTTAGCAGACCACAATAGCAGGACTGGGTTTAAAATATCCCAGTTTGATTTCAGATTGCTTACATCTGCACATCATCATAATGTTAAATGGCAACAGAGCTTAAACTTTGCAATTAATTTACAGGTGCATCTAAAAACAATTTAATATCGTGAAAAAGTTTTTTTTTTGTAACTTATTTCAAAGAGTGAAACTTTCATATATTCTAGATTTATTACATGTAAAGTAAAATATTTCAAATGTTTTTTTTGTTTTAATTTTGATGATTAGTGCTTACAGCTCATGAAAGTCAAAAATCCAGGATCTCAAAATATTAGAATATTACCTAAGATCAATCAAAAAAAGGATTTGCAAAACAGAAAAGTTCAAGTTCTTTAAAGTTTGTTCATTTATGCACTCAATACTTGGTCGTGGCTCCTTTAGCGCAAATGACAGCATCAGTGTGGTGTGGCATGCAAGCGATCAGCCTGTGGCACTGCAGAGGCACTACTGAGCCTTCAGCTCGACTGTATTATTGGATCGACTGTTTCTCATCTTTCTCTTGAAAATATTCCATAGATTAGATTCCATATGGGGTTCAGGTCAGGCATGATGGCTGGCCAATCAAGCACAGTAATATTATGGTCAGAAAACCACTTGGAAGTGGTTTTGGCACTGTGGGCAGGTGCTAAGTCCTTCTGTAAAAGGAAATCAGCATCTCCATAAAGCTTGTCAGCAGATGAAAGCATAAAGTGCTCCAAAATCTCCTGGTAGGTGGCTGCATTGACTTTGGACTTGATAAAACACAATGGACCAACACCAGCAGACGATGTCACAGCACCCCAAATTATCACTGACTTCAGAAACTTCACACTGGACTTCAAGCAGCTTGGATTCTGTGCCTCTCCAGACTCCAGACCTTGATTTCCAAATGAAATGCAGGACTGATGCAGATCTGAAAAGAGGACTTTGGAGTCGGACCACTGAGCAACAGTCCAGTTATTTTTCTCCTTAGCCCAGGTAAGATGCTTCTGATGTTGTTTCTGTTTCAGAAGTGGCTTGGTAGCCCTTTTCCTGAAGACGTCTGAGCGTGATGACTCTTGATGCACTGACTCCAGCTTCAGTCCACTCTCTCCAAACGGCTTTGCTTGACAGTATTCTCAAGCTTGCTACCCAATTTCTTCCATCCAGTCAACTTTGCATTTAATATGGTTTGATACAGCACTCTGTGAACAGCCACCCCTTTCAGTAATGACCTTCTGTGACTTACCCTCTTTGTGGAGGGTGTCGATGCTCGTCTTCTGGACCATTGACAAGTCAGCAGTCTTCCCCATTATTGTGGTTTCAAAGAACAAGAGATACCCAGAATTTATACTGTAGGGATGGTAATTTAATGAAACTCAAATGTAAATATTCTAATATTTTGAGACACTGGAATTTTGACTTTCATGAGCTATAAGCTCTAATCATCAAAATTAAAACATTTTTTTTTATGTTTTACTTTACATGTAATGAATCTAGAATATATGAAAGTTTCACTTTTTTAAATAAGTTACAAAAAAAAGGAACTTTTTCACAATATTCAAATTTTTTGTATACACACACACACACTTCATTGGGATATTAGCTAATATATACTTCTATATTTGTTTATACACTTTCATTATGAGTGTCATTTGTTTGTGAATTCTACTGCATGTTTTTGATTCACTAAAACGAACCACTTCATTAGAGTCATTTGTTGGTGAATCAGACTACACTGGTCACACTGCACGTTATTGCTTGCAACTTGCAAATACTTTTTTTCCTCCGCTATTATTTTGCGGTACACTGTCTTCTTAGCATGTTCGATTTGGACTGAAAACACAGGTGAAATATGACTTCTTTTACTGCACAATGCAAAAAAACACTGGCACATTGCCAATCCTAGGGTTGGAAGAAGCAACGCTGAGATCCGAAAATCTGTATTTTTACCCAACCTAATATAATACACTTTTCAAATGTAAAACAATAAATGTAAGAAGTGTTACTTTTTTATTTACCTCATTTTTTTTGCCATCAGATATAGTTTAAAACCTCTTATTTCCATATAATTTGGTGCCGTAAGAACCTATACAGTGAATGCGTGTGTGACAGCATGTCTGCACTGCAAGCTAGCTGCGTGATGCGACGCAGCAAAATTATTGCTCCCATTATAATCAGTGAAGCTGTCTTTAACACAAGTGGCTTAAAATAAAAAATATATATAATGCAAGCAATACTGCTAGCATTCTGAAAGAGAGAAAGCTTCAGCAGAGGGTGAGATGTAAAAGTAAGTAACTATAAAAAGTAACAATCATGTGATTAGTTAAAGTTATGCAGTATATAGTATAATCTGCAGTAATGTTATGCAACATCAATCATTGATATGTCCTGTAATTTTAAATTTTCTTTTTTCTTTTTTTTTTCAGAGGGAATAGATCAGATTGGAGCATTTTGGAGTTTGCCGATTGCAGCAGAAAATGAAGCAAGTGAACTGGAAAAGACCTGTGTGAGAGCACCCACTGAAAAGGGCAGGGGGAGAGAGAGGTATGGCAGGCATACCTGGCATAATCTCCAAATCAAACTCAGGCAGGATGTCATCCAGCACACCTGTCCTACCTGGAGAAGGGAGAAGATCAGACATAAACAGCAGCAGAGGGCAGCAGATGAAAGTTCAAAGTTTAGGGTCGTGGGTAAATGCTTGTGTGTTATTATGAAAAAAGTTACTCTGTTAGTGGCTGTGGATTAATTAAGTGTAAATTGAAAGCTGATTTGAAAACTTGATTTGTGGTTTTAAGCATGATTGTTGGTTTAGAGACTAAATCAAATGCAAAAGTATAAACAAAGTCTGCATATATATATATATATACAGTGGGTACGGAAAGTATTCAGACCCCCTTAAATTTTTCACTCTTTGTTATATTGCAGCCATTTGCTAAAATCATTTAAGTTAATTTTTTTTTCCTCATGAATGTACACACAGCACCCCATATTGACAGAAAAACACAGAATTATTGACATTTTTGCAGATTTATTAAAAAAGAAAAACTGAAATATCACATGGTCCTAAGTATTCAGACCCTTTGCTCAGTATTTAGTAGAAGCACCCTTTTGATCTAGTCTTTTTGGGAAAGATGCAACAAGTTTTTCAGGGGATCCTCTGCCATTCCTCCTTGCAGATCCTCTCCATTTCTGTCAGGTTGGATGGTAAACGTTGGTGGACAGCCATTTTTAGGTCTCTCCAGAGATGCTCAATTGGGTTTAAGTCAGGGCTCTGGCTGGGC